TCTCTCCCCAACCTGTGATGACATCATAGAAGGCTACTAGGCTGATAAAGCATGATTTCAGCTTGGTGAATCCATGTTGACTATTCTTGATAAGATTCTCTTCCAATTAATTGGAGAGGGTATCCAGAATTCTGTCAGTTTTCTAAGGCTCACTGGTCTGTAGTTTCCCAGATCCTCCTTCTTGCCCTTTCTGAAGACTGGAGTGATGCTGGCTATCTTCCAGTCTTCAGACACACCACCTGTTTGCCAAGACCTTTCAAAGTTGATAGTGGTTCAGTGGTCACTTCTGCCAGTTCTCTCAGTGCATTTCTTTGAGGCTCATGGATTTGTGTTCATTGATTTTGGCTAGACGCTCTCTGACCAGATCCTCCACAACCAATGAGAAGGCTTCCTTTCCCTGGCCTCTCTGGGGAAACCTCTCTGGGCAAACTGTTCCAGTGTCTCACTACCCTTACAGTAAAGAATTTCCTCCTAATATCTAGTCTAAATGTACCCTCTTCCACTTTGAAGCCATTTCCCCTTGCCCTGTCACTACATGCCCTTATGAAAAGTCCCTCCCCAGGTTTCCTGCAGGACATCTTCAGGTACTGGAAGGCCACTATAAGGTACCCCCGGAGCCTTCTCTTCTCGAGGCTGAAAAGCCCCAACTCTCTTAGCCTGTCCTTATAAGGGAGGTGCTCCAGCCCTGTGATCATCTCTTTGGCCCCCATTGGGATCTGCTCCAAAGCTTCATGTCTTTTTTCTTGTTAGAGTTTCCAGAACTGGATGAAGTACTCCAGGTGGGATCTCACAGCAGCTGAGTAGAGGGACAGAATCACCTCCCTTTTTCATCAACTAATACCCCCAAATCCTTCTCCTCAGAGCTGCTCTCAAGCCATTCTCCTCCCAACCTGCATTTATGCTTGCGATTGCCCCAGCCCAGGTGCAGGACCTTGCACTTGGCCTTGTTGAACTTCATAGGGTTGGTATGGGCCCACCTCTCAAACCTGTCCAGGTCCCTCTGGTGTGCAGCACTCAGCTTGGTGCCATCTGCAAACTTGCTGAGGGTGCACTTGATCCCACTGTCTGTGTCACCTACAAAGATGTTAAACAGCACCGGTCCCAGCACTGATCCTTGAGAAATGCCACTCGTCACTGGTCTCCACTTGGACATTGAATTGCTGCATTTAACATGCAACCCTCTGAGTGCGACCATCCAGCCACTTTCATATCCAGTGAGAAGTCCATTCATCAAATTCATTTTTTTCCAATTTCATGACCAAGATGTTGTGTGGGACAGTGTCAAACATTTTGCACAAGTCCAGGTAGGTAATAGCAGTAGTTCACAGAATCATTAAGGGTGGAAAAAACTTCTAGGATTATCTAGTCCAACCATCCATCTACCACTAAACAACATTCCATCCATCTACCCACTAAACCAGATTCCTTATTACCACACCTATACATTTCTTGAACACCTCTAGGGATGGTGACTCCACCACCTCCCTGGGCAGCTCATTCCAATGCCTGACCACTCTTTAGGAAAAGAAGATTCTTCTAATATCCAACTTGAACTCCCTTGTGCAACTTGAGGCCACTTTGTCTTTTCATATCACTAGTTACATGAGGAACAGAGGCTGACCCACATCTTGACACAGCTTCCTTTCAGGCAGGTGTAGAGGGCAATAAGGTCACCCCTGAGCCTCTTCTTTTCCAGACTGAACAATCCCAGTTCATTCAGCTGCTCCTCATAAGTCTTGTGCTCTAGTCACTTCACCAGCTTTATTACCCTTCTGCGGAAACAGACCAGGGCCTCAATGCATTTCTTGTAGTAAGGTGCCCAAAACTGAACATGGTACTCAAAGATGTGGTTTCACCAGAGGGAAATAGGGAGTGTAGAGAGATGATCAGATCCCCACACCAACTGGCAACACTACTTCTGATACAAGCCAGGATGCCATTGGCCTTCTTGGCCACCTGGGTGCACTGCTGGCTCATGTTCAGCTGAGTGTTGTCTAACACTTCCATGTCTTTTTCCTCTGCATAGTCTTTTAGCCGTCTGTCCCAAGCCTGTAGTGTTGTCTGGGATTGTTGTGACCAAAGTGCAGGACTCAGCACTTGGTCTTGTCAAACTTCATCCCGTTGGCCTCTTCCCAGCAATCCAGCCTTTCCAGATCCTTCTGTAGGGCCTTCCTACCCTCAGGCAGATCAACACCTCCTCCCACGTTGGTGTCATCAAGTGTACTGACAGTGGACTCAGTCCTCTCAGTCAGGTCATCAATAAAGATAATGAACAGGACAGGCCCCAGTACCGACCCCTGGGGAACACCAGTTGTGACCACTCACCAACTGGATATAACTTCATTCACCACCACACTCTGGGCCTGGCCCTCCAGCCACTTCTTTACCCAGCAAAGAGTGTACTTGTCCAAGCCATGGGCTGCCAGCTTCTCTAGGAGAATACTGTAACAGACAATGTCAAAGGCTTTGCTGAAGTCTAGGTAGACCACATCAACAGCCTTTCCCTTATCCACCAGGCAGGTCACTTGATCATAGAAGGAGGTGAGGACAGGCCTGTAGTTCCCTGGGTCCTCCTTATTCTTGTAGATGGAAGTCACAGTGGCAAGCCTCCAGTCCTCTGGGACCTCTCCAGTTGACCAGGAACACTGATAGGTGATGGAAAGTGGCTTGGCAACTACCTCCGCCAGCTCCCTCAGTACCTTTGATTGGATCTCATCTGACCTCATGGACATGTGACTGTCTAGATGGAATACAAGGTCTCAACTGTGCAGGCTTTATTCTTCTCCCCATACCAGACTTCCAGGTCAAGGGGTAGCGTATCCTGAGGATAACTGGTCTGTCTATTACAATTGTAAAGAAGGCATTGAGAACCTCAGCCTTTTCCTTATCCTCAGTGGTCATGTTCTCCTCCACATCCAGTAAAGGATGGAGATTCTCTTTAGCCCTTCTCTTACTATTAATATATTTGTGAAGAAGTTTTTTGTTCACTTTTACAACAGTGGCCACGTTGAGTTCATGTTTGGCTTTTGCCATTCTAATTTTCTCCCTGCATACCCTAGCAACATTCAGTATCCTGAATGGTTCAGTCTGCCCTTCAGAAGTCCAAGGTAGCCGTTTTGCTGACCTCCTGAATTACCAAGAATTGAGAACTATCATTTCATGGTTGCTCTGCCCAACATAGCTCCCAACCTCCATATCTCCCGTCAGTCCTTCTCTGTTTGTGAACAGCAGGTCTAGCACAGCACCTCCCTGGTAGGTTCTCTTAGCAGCTGCATCAGGAGGTTGTCTTCCGCACACTTTAGAAACCTCCTAGACTGCTTCCTCTGCACTGTATTGTATATCCAGTATATATCAGAGAACTTGAAGTCCCCCATGAGAACAAGGATTGGTGGTCATGCAACATCTGCCAGCTGCTTGTAGAACACATTGTCCATCTCTTCATCCTATTTAGGTGGTCTATAACAGACTCCCACCAGGATGTCAGCCTTGTCAGCCCTTCCCCAGATCCTTACCTATAGAGACTCAACCTTATTGCCATACTTGAGCTCAACAACATCAAAACGCTCTCTATTACAGAGAGCCATGCCTCTGCCCCTACTTCCTTGCCTATCCATTCTGAAGAGCTTATAGCCATCCATTGCAGCACTCCAGTCATGGGAGCTATCCCACCATATTTCAGTAATGGCTACTAAGTCATTTGCCTGTCACACACTCGCTTCCTGCGCCTCCTGTTTGTTGCCCATGCTGTGCAGTGGTGTAGATGCACTTCAGCTGAACAACTTGCCTCACCCCCAGCCCCATCATAATTCCTGTAGGCTTATCTCAAGCAAGCCTTATTTCATCCTCTGCCCCCTTCATATCTTGTTTAAAGCCTTCTCCACAAGCTCTGTCAGCCTGTGGGCTAGGATCCATTTCCCCCTTTGAGACCAGTGAGACACATCTGCAGCCATCAGGCCAGGCTGTGAGTAAACCATCCCATGGCTGAAAAATCTAAAATTCCTCTGACTGCACCACCCTCTTAGCCTCGTATTTATCAGATTTGTTTGCCTTGTCCTCTCAGTATCACTAACTGCTGTGGAAGAGAGAGAAAAATTACCACCAATACTGCTCCATCAACTAACCACCCCAATCCCCTGAAGTCCCTTTTGATAGCCCTCAAGCTTCTCTCAGTGGCTTCATCACTGAACTATCAGTAACGAGTAGTAATCAGTGTCGATCCAGACCAGGAAGATTTTTTGTAATGTCACTGACTCGGGCTGCAGGAAGGCAGCACAATTCCCTATGGATAAGATCTGGCTGACATATTGGGCCCTCCATTCTCTTCAGAAGGGAGTCACTACAACTAGCCTTCTTTCCTTGGCAGAGGCAGTCTAATAGTTAAGCAAATATCATTTTCAGGAATCATTTAGATACAACTGAATATGTTTGGAGACATGTAAGATTTTTTCCTCACACCCCCCTTCTTTGCTCATTCTTTTTACTGTGCAGAGGGATTTGGAAGGCTGGATTGCTAAGTACAGGGCCATCCTGAGAGGTGTTGCTATTAAACTGTAAACATGTCTAAATGTTTACAATGCAGTAATATTCATCCTCATTATATCTTATATTGATCAAATAGCTCAAATTCACTTTCAGTCAAGTTTTTTTTGACATAATTTAGATGCTTGAAAATATGTGAGAGTATGTTTAGACACCTGGACCAATTGTAGACTTGTTAGGGGGACTAGCTGGCACTCAGCTACAGCAACTGGTCATCTAAAATGGTAGCAGTTACCTATTTTACGTGCCTAAAATGGCTCACAAAGCGTCAATACAATATATAAAATTAAAAGAAAGGGAAGAGTTAAACACAGATCCTTGACAGTAAGACAGTATCTAACTGATGAGACTATATTATTTCAGACGGAGAATTTTTGCTGTAGGAAATTAGCCTGTCAGAGTGAGAATATTGCATTAGTGAAAATACTTGGGTAATTTTTCTTCTTAATTTTTGCATCCAGGCCGCGCTTTGCTGAGACTTACTGACAAAAAGCTTGAACGAATGGGCATTGCCCAGGAAAGCCTGCGACAGCACATTCTGCAGCAAGTCCTTCAGCTGAAGGTGAGAGAAGAAGTCCGAAACCTCCAACTGCTTACACAAGGTATGAAAAATAATTTTGGTGCAGGAAGCTATTGAGATCAGGTAGAAGTTTGCCTGAGGGCATAAATGGTGACTTGACATTCTTCTGCAAGAAATGATGCGTGGAAATGTCTCATAGATTCCACATACTTTCAAAATTGGAAAAAAAAGGTAAAATAATGTATAAATAGAGTTGTTTGGCTGACTCTTTTGAATGATGAGTAAGCTCCGTCTGTAGCTTGAGAGTAGCCTTACTTTAATGTCTGTTTACTAACATGAAACTATTTACAATAAAGGGTACAAGTAGATAACGTGCTGTCTTTGTAGACATTGTACATTTTCTATTAATTAATTAATTATTAGTTAATTAATTTCTATTAATTGTTTACTTCAGATAAAAGAGTAATCTCTGTAACCTCTTTTATGGTAAGAGCTGTCAGTGGAAAATTACCTGTTAGACTCAGCTTTTTGCAGATGGTTGATTCCTTCTTCATGTTGGAGAAATTTTATTGACTTGCATAGAGTGGCTTCTAACTTAAGCTGCTAAAAAAAGCAAAACTGGGCTCAATATGGTGATCTCGGTTAGGAGACAGGGAAGCGGGAGCAAAAAAAAGCTTGTACATATTTTCCATATGATGTTAAGATGTTTTATAATGACTTGCATTATTAGCATTCTATTAAGGCTTTTTAACAGCTGTGGTAACACAGAAGAGAAGCAGTCATTGTGGTAACAATGTAAAGTAACATTTATACATCTTCTAATACATATCTGCAGTACTTTCTTAATGTTAAATATTGCTTGTTAGTCCAGTGAGATAGCATAAACCACACACTTCTGTGGTTTTTTGGTTCAGTGCCTGTTATATGTCACATCGTATGAAAAAAATAGAGTTCTTCAGTACATGCAGTGTATTTTTAACAAAATGTCCTTCACACATGGCATTATGTTCCCGATTAAGCCTTTCTCACTGTGTTTGGGGAAAAACTCTCTGATTAGTTGAGTAAGCTGCATTTTATCTGAACGAGCTCATATCTTAGCTGAATATTCCTTCAGGCTTTGTGTCATGTAGGTTGTGATGAGGAGCTTTAGGGCTCCTTTATATCATATGATCTGTGAATATGACTTCACCCCATCTTTTGTTGTGTCAAACACCATGCTCATGCTAAAATATCAGCCCCTTTCCTCTTCCATTCATCCTTTCATCCACAGTTCCTAAATCTTTTTCTCTGATATTGGTTGTTTTCTCTTTCCCTACATATGAATTGTTAAGAGAGTTTACAGACTGCAAAGTTTTTGTCACCATGACTGGTTTAGGCTAGTTTATGGAAGTTGGGACTTTACTTCTGAGGGACAGTGAAGATCCAGAAGCTATAAATTTGGATCAGTTGGTCAATATGGACAGTTCTCTCCATCAACCTGTTTTTGTCATTGAGGACTATATATTTCCAGGCTTCTTGTTTCCCTCTGGACACATCAACCATGAGTCACAATTAGTCAGACTGTAGTCAGAGGGTGGTGATGGCCATTTCAAGGAATTCATCCTTTGAGATTTATTCCTTGTCCACAAAGCTGAGGATACAAATTTAGATTTTAGAAAGAGCATGAATAAACACATGCTGGACTATGAAGGAAAGTTTAGCAGTTGATATACAGGTAGGTGTTTAACGTATTCTCTCTGCAATGTAAAGAGAACAATGTTATATAGTCTGATTGTATAAAGACATGCCATGGTGTGATTTATGAAAATCAGCACAAGCTGATGGTCTGCAGCTCCTGCAGTCCTTCCCCACAGTGGCATTGGCCATTCTAGTCATCTTAAATAAAGCCTATAGGACTGTACTGTTGACTACAAAATGTTCTCCTGTGCACCAGATCTGTGCTAATTGTATGATCCCAGATCAGGGGGCGATGAGTGATGGAATGACAGCAGTATTCCTATTCCTTATCACCTCATTTACACCACGTTGGAGTGTGTCTGTTGAAAGTGCTTGTTTGCAAGTACCAAGATTAAGATACATTTTCACAACTAAGTGCAGTTTGTAAAGCTGCATGTCAGTTGTTCTCTGAAGCTAATTCTGTCCTCTTGCCCATTTTCTTCAAACTATGTCCACACTTAGTATGGTTTATACACTCCTAATCCAGGTTGTTACCGGAATAGCTTCCTGTTAGTCCTTTTCTGTTTTGTACAACATTTGCGTGCCAGCAGTTTCTGCCTTTTGGAAATTCAGCGTGCAAATTGCAATAGCTACACTGTCCTCTTCTATCCTCCAAAATGTCCTCCAATAAAAGGGGGAAAAAAGCCCTGTATCTCATAATTCACAGCTCAGGAATCTTTAGGTAAAAGAAGCCATTAAAAATCCTTTCTGAATTCATTTAGCATACCAGCTGAGTTACAAGCAGTAGGATCCTAATCTGGGGCTCATTGATGTCAGCGAAATGACTTCCACTGACTTTAGTTCATATCCTGTTTGACGATGGAGAGAATAGGGAAAGTTTCAAAAAAGCTTTATGTAGTACTTATCAGATATTTTAAGTGTTTCTGTGTTCTGTTGTCTGCAGAGAAAGTTAACCTCATTTTAAAAACTCAACAGAAAACCAGCATTCTTTTCCACTCCTATTTTAGAAAATTGCTTAAAACTGCTTCATTCTTTTTCATTCAGGACACACCATCCACTGTGTTCTGGGGACAGAAAAGCCAGAACAGTATGTGATTGTCAACTCTTGAGTTTAAGGAAGACTTTTCTTTGGAGTAAGGACTATTTGATTGAGGCTATTATCAGCAGAAATGCTGTTCCAACCTTCACTACGATAGAAGGGCACAGACCCAGCTACCAATCTGTGCTTTTTTCCTAGACTTAGTGATGTTGAGGAACTAATTTGACAAAACATCTCCCAGTGTCTTTTGGGGAGAGCGGCACACTGCTGGAATCACTGTTATTGTACTACTTCCACTCTAAACCAAAGTTGAAAGATCATTAGGAAAAAAAAAAAGCCTTACATAACTACAGAAAGTAGCTATTTTGAGATTTTTCAATGTGAGTCCTGGTTTTGGCTAGCATAGAAGAGACTGTCCTCAAAATGGCAGAACAATGTGATGTGGGATTCTCAGCAAAGTATGCACAGACAGCAATTGGCTAATAGGGCTGAGCATATGAAGTGCTTTTGGATTTAGATTAAATGATACCTGAATTTAAGATGACATTGGGCCCCCTCCTAAGCTTCTCCCTGAGTTTGATAAGGGGCAAAACTTGAATATGGCCGCAGAATGTGCTATTTTCTTAAAAAAAATAAAAAATAAAAAATTGTCCTGCTAGCAAAAAGTTTCAGAATAAGGCTTTGTGCTTCCTTGAAAAGCATCACAGCTGTTGATAACTGTTGACATTATTTCTTCAGTAAGTTTTATAATTGTCCTGCACCAGTGCTGAGCTAGTGAAAAATACCTTCTGAGAAAAGAAGTTGTGTTGCAGTGATGGATTGTTCACTGGGTTTTGGAGGAAAATCATAACAGAAACGCTGCCTTAAGGGTCAATGTGGTGAGTAAACCACAACTATGAGCCCCACCCCGCTAAAAGCTGTTATAAGGATTTTTGTAGTACTAGCAATCTTTTAATACTAGAGTAAAGGCAAGCATGATCAAGCAAAGAAAGTGTGAGCTGTTTGACACAGAACCTCCCCAGGCAGTCAGAAACATAGTCCTAATTCCTAATTCCTGTTCACCTTGTCTACTTCTTCCTTTTGAACGTTGAAGGTTGGACGAATTTGAATGCTGCCTTTCCAGCTTTCGTAATCATATCAGAGGACATTTGTTGTTTTCCACAATGAAAACACTGAAGCACTAG